TCACTGACCAGCTGCACACCCCCTACTGGGGATGGAGCTGGCAGCCTGGGCAAATTCACTGACCAGGAATCAAATCATGACCTCCTGGTTCATAGGTAATCCCTCAACCAACCAGGCATAGTATAATTAGTTCAATATGTGTTTTTTTTTAAGTTTATCTTGAACTTAAGATTTCTTTTCAAAATGTAAGGTTTTTAAAAGTCAAAGTTTAGTCTATTTTTATGATTATGTATTACAACTTGGTAAGGTATGTTCAGCCATACACAGCTGTTTTCTCAGGAATTCGTATTTAGGCATTCATGCCATCTGCTGCTACTCAGTACCTAAATTGGGATTTTAAGAGTGGTGGGTAACAACGGAACATGCCTAAAGCATTTAAAAGCTAACATTAGTAAGCAAATTTATTCTCTGAAATCACTGAAGTAGACCCACTTTTCTTGTTCCTTTTATCATAGACTTCTAATTTATTTACTACACTCCAGGGCTTTGGGATTGCCTGTGTGTGTGTGTGTATAATGTTTTTCTAACTACATTTTTTAAAAAGAAGCAATAAGACTGACCTTTCTAGCTTCACACAAGCTTATAAAAGTAGGAATTGCTAAAGATGAGAAGTTAGCTGGAAAAAATATAGGGGGTTGTATAATTCATTGTGAATAATCTAGTTCATGACTGCAACAACATAACTGATCGGACTAAGCAACTTTAAAATGCATTGGTCGAGATGCCACCTCACATTCACTTCCATGACTAAATTTTTTAAATGTAAAATAAGTTGGTGAGGATATGGAGAAACTGAAACTCATACATTGCTGGTGGGAATGTAAAATTGTGTGGCTACTGTGGAAAACATTTTGGCAGCTTCTCAAAAAGTTAAACGCAATATCCACATGGCCCCGCAACCACTTAGTTAAATAACTGAAAGAACTGAAAACATGCCCAGACAAAACTTGTACACAAATGTTCACAGCAGCATTATTCACAAAATAGCCAAAAGGTGGAAACAAGCCAAATATCCATTTGGATAAAGAAAATGTGGCATAACCATACAATGGAATATTATTCAGCCATACAAAGGAATGAAGTACTGACACAACATGGATTAGCCTTAAAAACATTGTGCTAAGTAAAAGAAACCAGACATAAAAGGTCACATATTATATGATTCCATTTATATGAAATATCCAGAATAGGGAAATCCATTGAGCAGACTAGAGGTTGCCAAGACTGAAGGGGTAGGAAGTGACTGCTTAAAGGATAAGGGGTTCCCTTTAGAGGTGATGAAACTATTTTGGAACTAGAGATGATGGTTGTACCACATCATGAATATATTAAATGAAATGGAATCACATTAAAATGGTTGGTTTTATATGAATTTCACTTCAATTAAAAGAAATGCTTTTGCCCAGCTCGTGGTAGTTCAGTGATTTAAGTGTCGACCTATGAACCAGGTCACAGATTCCCAGTTGGGGTCCAGGCTCAATACCCAGTGGGGGTGAAGGAGGTGCAGAAGGCAGCCCATCAATGATTCTCATTGTTTCTGTCTCCCTCTCTTCCTTTCTGAAATCAATATATATATATTTTAAATGCTTTGGTACTGTCATCTCAGAATGTATTGTTGTTTTAAAGTTAGTACTTCAAAAGCCACCCCAAAGCAGCTCTAATACCTTCAATAAATTACAGCATGGACCTTCACATAAAGCGAGGCTTTATGCAAATCAGTTAAAGCTCTTGAATTGTTTTATCTCCCAAATGAAACCTAGGTAGCATTTCCTTCTAGTACTATATTGAACAAAATATTAAAAAATTTAAAACAAAGTGTTTTCAGTCCTAGCTGGTTTGGCTCAGTGGATAGAGTTGGCCTGCAAACTAAAGGGTCTTCGGTTTGATTTTGGTCAAGAGCACATGCCCAGGTTCCAGGCTTCATCCCCAGTAGGGGGCATGCAGGAGGCAGCCAATCAATAATTGTCTCATCATTGATGCTTCTATCTCTCCCTCTCCCTTCCTCTCTGAAATCAATAAAATATATATTTTTAAATGTTTTGGGATGTTTAGAAAACCAGTGTTGACTCTAATTTTTTAGAGGAAAGATTTTCCCTATTGAGTTGCCATGTGGGACTTGTGATAAACTAGTAGTGCAAACTTTTACCCTTCAATATGTATGTGTTTTGGTTTTGTCTCAAACTAGTTTGTAGGCAACTTATGACTGTATTTCATAACTGGAGAATATGAGATCTAAAGGTGTCACTTTCCACCAGGGAGTTCTTACCACAGTAGTATAATAGTATTTGGAACCTCTCTCGTATTCCTCAGAGATCTACCTCCAGTCTGAAATCACATTCTAATGAATATCAGGTCTTAATTCTCTCAGAAAAGTCTTCACCCAGTGAAATTCTTGGAAATTTGAAACAACAGATATTAGTATTCAGAATGTTAAAGAACGTTACATTATAGCCAGGAATGATGTTTGCTAATGAATTATGAATTATCAGTGTATACTAAAGTGGCAACTGTGCAAAAGTTCAGTAACTGGATGTGCTCTATATATTCTTAGTTATTTATAATCAATATAAAATTTTAGATTGTTTCAATCCTACAGCAAGAACTAGTGACATCTGGTTTGGCTAAATGGCTTGGCCAATTGGATAGAGCATTGGCCCATAGACTGAAAGGTCCCAGGTTTGATTCCAGTCAAGGTCATGTGCCTTGGTTTTAGGCACATCCCTAGTGGGTGTGTAGGAGGCAGCTGATTGATGTTTCTCATTGATGTTTTTGACTGACTCCCTGTCCTTTTTCCCTTCCTCTCTGTAAAAAAATCAATAAAATATATATTTTTTTAAAAAGAACTAATGACATCTTAAAATGTGGTTCACCAGAGTTGTTACTTTCTATATTTTATTAAAATTAAATGTACTAAAGTCCAAATATAATTGAAAAATTCAGTCACAAAGATGGCTTTAAACACACTTATGAATGATGCTTTATTCTAAATGAAATACAAGGAAATTTTGGTATATTTATTCAGTTTTCTTAGTGTTCCTTACCTTTGGACTCTCTATCATACTAATCTATCTGTATACTGAAGATTTAATCAGAGCATGTGGCACTTTAAAATATTCTATATTCAAATATTCTGAAATGCTTATATACTATCTGATCATACTGTTTAGTCAGCAAATAAAAAAATTTAAAGATTCCAGATGTGGAATGCTTTTTAAGTGTTTAGAGTTTTTCTGACCAGAGTTCAATTTAACTAGCCATGTTGTTAATATAGGACCTATATGTTTTTCTCTTGGGCATGAGTATATCATGTTATAATTTTTCTTTCAAAGTGTCTCAGCTTTTTGCTTAGAAGCTTTTTGTTTCTCTCAAGTTACTGTAAAACCCTGTCAACATATTTGCTTGATGGCAGACCAAAACCAAATTTTAAAAAGAAAAGTTTTTTCAAAAGAATCAGGTTCTTGCTTTAATATTCATATATTTATAAACTGATGTTAAAAATGCTCTCAAAAATGTTATTTAGGAAAGCACAATTTGGTAATACCAATTTTTCATTTATAGCTTTTTGTAAAAAAGATCCTTAGTTTTCCCCCTCAAGTACTTTTAAGTACTTTAAAGTTCAAGCTAAAGTGCATGTAAAACCTTCTCATTCTCATACTAAACTAAAAGTTAAAAATACAATGGATAGTGAGCAGAATATTAAAGTATGGGCTACTTTATCAAGAGTGAAGTTCTCACAATGTTAGGTTTGAGATGAAAGAGATGAAAGAATTTGGAACAAAAGCTCTCACAACTGTGGAAAAAGCTCTTCCTGAAATGGATGGGCTTTTAATATCTAAGCTGGAAATTAAATGCAGAAATAACATTACAACAGCTAAAGTTTACAAATTAGGTATGGTGATAATTGAATTAGAAAAGCTTGGTTACCACACTAGGCCAGATACCATTTAGTAAACTGTAATTTCTAATTTTAGAAAGTTTGGCTTCATATTAAAATTTTTTTTACAGTATATAAATTATACATATGTTTACCTGCAACTCAAATTGTAGTGCTCAAGCCTATAAAAGGATGTTTATTTCCAAGACCCTCAAAAGCCACAATACCCCCTTTTCTATTTATAAAACCAACAATTTCAAAAAATACTTCTAACATAGAAATGCTCAATAGTTATCCAAAATTTAAATTCCACATCAGTAAGCAATTTCTCATAATGTATTGTGCTGTATTTTCTAATATCACATGGTCACATTATGAATACTTTTCATGGGCAAGAGTACTTAAAGGAATAAAATTGACTTTGTTACTGTTCACTTTGAATATTAAATTGTGCTTGCATCCTAAAAGTTAAAATGAGCTGCAGTAAAAAATATATGAATATGTTCATTTGTACATATTTAGCTGTACTAACAGCTAAAATCCTAAAAATAAGAGCATGAAACTATGTTAATTGAAAAAATGAAAGAGAAGCAGTAACAATATTTTTATCTTTTGTTAAAGTTCTCAAGTTGTATTAAATTGCTAACCAAATTGAGGTAGAGGTAAGCCCTACTGCTATTCCTTTCATATATCAGAACTTAGGCCTCTCACCTTAACTTGTATGCATTCCCCCCTAATTATATAAACATGATTCAATTGGAAATGTTATGATAGAAAAATTATAGCATCATTCAAATGGTATTTTACAAAATTCTTAATAGCGAGGCTAAAAAAAAAAGTATTTATAAAATGTACACAATAATTCAATGTTCCCTGCCAGTCATAAATATATTTGTTTTTCCTCCAAGTGTGTGTGTGTGTGTGGGGGGGGGACGGGGGAGGGGAAGAGTACAGAAACTATATTATACAAAGATGATGAAGTCATGTAATGAAGACATTAAAACAACTAGTAGGGTAAGAACTAAGAACCTAGTGTCTAGTTTTCCTCTTTGAAGGTTACACATAAACTTTGATTCATATTAAATATCTCTTATTAAAGCAGACTTAAATTCCATTAAACACAAATCTATTTCCATTTTAAATCACATACAAGTGCTATGTGATCCGAGGGATGAGAAACACTAGGTAAGGCCTGGTGGGTGGTAACTTCTTCATGACTCGGTAGTGGAATCACCTGTTCAACCTCTAAAGCATTTAAGTCAATGAAAATGTAATCCAGACATCCATGAAAGCCACCAACATAATTTGTGTAAGCAGGTTCACCACAAGCACTTTTCAGTTTCAAGAAATGGGTAAGAGACATGTTGCATCGTTCCTCTTTCCCATAGGAAGCCCAGTCTTCATGATCCTCTGGAATGTTGCCATTGATGACAAAATGATACATTCCTGTTGATGGGGTACTATTAAAGTCCCCACAAAATATAACCGGTATGCCAGGATACAGATCACATGAGACATGTCTAATGTGAGCCAAGGCTACTGCTATTTGAATGAGACGAATGTACCCACCTATGAATATAAAAAAAAATTAATGTAAGTACCTTTTAAAATTGCCTTTAAGTTAAAACAAACAAAACAAAGCAAAGAAAGAAACTCACAAACTACAGCATTTGTGTGACATTCAAGATGTGTATTGGGGGTGTGAGTGTGTGGGATTAGATAGAAGTGGTCAAAAAATGCAAACTTTTAGTTATAAAATAACTAAGTACCGAGGATTTAATGTACAACATGAGTATAGTTAACACTTCTCTATGGATATTTGAGAGTTACTAAGAGAATAAATCCTGAAAATTCTCATCACAAGAAAAATAAAACACCACTTTTTTTTGGTATCTATATAAGCTTGTTGTGGAATCGTTTTGCAATGCATGCAAATCAAGTCATTAGGTTGTATACCTTAAACTTGTGTAGTGCTGTATGTCAATTATATCTCAATAAAACTTAAAGAAAAAAATATATTTGTGTAAAACAGCTTTATTGATCTTAAGTTATCATGTTTAAGGCACTTGTGAAAACCAATAAAACCTACCTTTGGGATGCCAGTAGAGATGGGTATTAGCAACACATATCTTTTTAGAAGAATCTTTTGTAGACTGAAGAACAGAAACCTAAAACATACAGAAAGTGTCAAGACTTCAGTTGTTATCTGCCAATCTCCTGAATGTTTTTTTTAATTTTTTTATTTTATTGATTTTGTACAGAGAGGAAGGGAGAGAGATAGAGAGTTAGAAACATCAATGAGAGAGAGTCATCGATCAGTTGCCTCTTGCACACCCCCTACTGGGGATATGCCCGCAACCAAGGTACATGCCCTTGACCGGAATCGAACCTGGGACCTTTCAGTCCCCAAGCCAACGCTCTATCCATTGAGCCAAACCGGTCCCGGCATTGAGCCAAACCGGTCCCGGCCTGAATGTTTTTTTTAATCTAAGACTATATGATGAAATAACATTTTATTCTATATCCTTCCCATACTGATGAAATATAATCATAACTGTGAAATTTAACTTTTGTTAAAAGTTGTGTTTGTTTTTTTTAAATTTATTTTGAGAGGGAGGAGGAGAAAGGAGGGATAGGGAAGAAACAAAACACATTGATGTGTTGTTCCACTTATTTATTCATTCACTGGTTGATTCCTGTTCGTGCCCTGACGGGATGGAACCAAAAACTTTAGCATATCAGGATGACACTAATCAACTGGGCTACCCTACCGGGGCTAAAAATTTTTGAATAGTGTCTCCTTATCCATAGGAGATATATTCTAAGATCCTCAGTGGATGCCTGAGACCACAAAATGTACCAAACCCTATATATGCACTATGTTTTCCTATACACATATAACTATGATAAAGTTTAAGTTATAAATTAGGCATAGTAAGAGATTAACAATAATAATAAAATAGAACAATATAATACTGCATATACTGTAATAAAAGTAATGTGAACTCTCTCAAAATATCGTATTGTACTCTACGTGAGGAAGGAACGTGAGGTGAAGAGGTAGGCAGTGAGGCTACTATAAGGGTTACTTGAACATGAGTACTGTGACAGTCCATCTGATGCCCAGGACAGCTACCAAGGGACTAGTGAACTTGGTTAAGTAAACTTGGCAAGTAATGGGAATAGCAGGATTACTTATGAACCAAAAATTAAAATAACAGCTAGTATTTATGGAGCACTTTGTAAAGCATATCAGACACGTTAGCATATCAGTACGTTAGAAATGTGTTCAAACAGTTCTTGGCAAGTAGTAAGAAAATATTAGCTATTATCATTATTCTTGTAGTTAGCATGTCTCTCTCCCACTAGGTTATAAGCACTAATAAAGTTCCTGTTTGTCTTGTTCAAACAGCATGCTTGGCACACTGGAATGCTCAGTAAGTACTTGCTCTATGAACGAATGATTAATGATGGTTAACACCTTTCAGTGAAATCTGGATGGCTTTACTCAATTAGAAGCAACCCCACACAATCTCCCTTCCCAGGAAGAGTAAAAAAATGGAGGAGGATGTAAAGAGACTGGCGGAGCTACTTCACCTGGAGGACAGACGATCTCTGGAACACCCTCTCCTGTGCCGCCGGGTTCAAAGCTAGTTTTTCCAGCAGTTCTTTGTGAAGTGGGTCGGACTGCAGGGCTTCATGGAAAGAGATGTCATGCTGGCTAAGGAGGCTGAACTTGGACTTTCGGTAGAAAGTAGCCAGGCCTTCCTGCTGCTTGATTCGAAACACGCCCTCCAGCCCAAAGGCCTCGAGGGCCGGCAGCAGGCTGTCCGTGAACACGCCGCGGTCCACCTCCTGCAAACAGATGAGGTCGGCGTTGTAGCCGGTGAGCTCCTTCTGGATAAGGTTCTGGCGGTAGTCGAGCTCCAGGGCGTAAGGGGCGCAGTACGGGTACAGGACGGTCCGCGAAAACTCGGTCTGGGCGTACGTGTCGGCGAGGATGTTGTAGGAGACAGTGCGGATGAGGGCGTCGTCCGTCACCTTCTTGGTGTAGAGATGCCGGTGATCAAAGGTGCAGGTGCCGGGCCCAGCCTCCACTAGACACACACTTTCCAACTCCCGGCTCGGTCCGAAGCGCTGCCCATTGCCCGGGGTGCAATGAAGCTTGAGACGTAGCCCGATGTCGGCATTGGACGGGGTGTAGACGCGCTCGTCCACACCCGTGTTCGTCCAACTCGCCGTATTAGGCGAGGAGGGAGGCAGTGATGAGGGGGCCCCGCCCTCAGGCTCTGCCGACCCCGGTTTGGCTTCCCTGTACCAGCGGAAGAGGGAGCCGGCGGGGTCCCCGAACTCGAGGCTGAGCTTGGGGCAAACCGGGAAGCCGGCCATGATGTACCGTGGCAACTGCAGCTCGGTGAAGGTGGGCGGGTTGCGCTCCACCTTGTACTTGACATCGCCGATCTGCAGCACCGCACCGTCCTGCCAGGCATCCACGTTGAGCACATCTTCGGCCACCGCCTCCTCCCGGTAGTACAGCTTCACCACGGGCTCGCAGGCCGCAGCCTGCTCGGACCCAGGCCCCGAACATGCTCCGCCGCCGCCGCTTGCGTTTGGCCGGTTCTTCCGGCTCTTCTTGGCCGCGGCCGCTTTCGCGTGGCCTTTAAGGGCGTTGGTGGCGATCCGGCTGAGGACTCGACCCAGCGGCTCGCTCTGGTCGCGCTGCATGTTCTTGTGGCTGCCATCGGCCAACGAGAACGACAGGCTCAGCTTGGGCTCGGAGGGCACACAGCGCACCACAGCGCGCTCCATCGCGCCCACCGCCGGCTCCGCCCGGCTGTGTGTCTCCACGGCCGCGCGGACCCCACGAAAAGCGGCGCGGGCGCCTGGGAGCCTCCACATGAACCTGGTGGCCCGGCGGCAGACCCCACAAGCGGCCGCTAAGCCTCAGGTGTTAACAGAGCTGCCGCCGCCAACGGCTCGGGGACTCATTCAGTCCCGCAACTTCCGGCCGGTGAGGAGAGGGCGGACGTGCTTCTGCCAAGCCCTTTCGCCAGGGCCGCTCACGTGCTCCTTTCTTTCCGCAGCCACGTCTGTCTCTCATAGCGCCAAGATTACTTTTTATCTTCGCGGTGAATCATAAAGAGGGGGGAAAGAAGAGAATATAGAAGCGCCCAAGGGGAATAGGAGACTTTCGTGGTTTTACCGAAAGTGCTGTTAGAAGATGGAAGGAAAGGTGCGCCACGCCGGAAGTGGCTGGGCGGGGTCACGCGTTCGCCTGGCGGAAGGAGGAGGTGCCTCGCCTGAGTCGTTACGGCCGGCTTTCCGTTCTCGCCTTCGGTTCTCGCCGACGGGGGCTGACCTGCGCGAGAGCGAGGGGGCTCCTCCCGGAAAGTCGGTCGGGCTCCGGGCGTGGCCTGCGTTGCTCCATCTTCTCCTCTGAGTTCCCGACGCCGCTCGTCCTCGTCAGGGGTGTGGCGGGTTCGCCTCAGGCCGGGCCGGCGCCGACGCGCGGAGCCGAGCTTTGTGGTAGTTAATTACAATGAACACTATGCAGTACTTCTCCTTTAGTGCGCGACGACTTTGCTAAAAAAAAAAAAAAAAAAAAAAATGTCCTCGGATGTGAGGCCGGAGAGAGTATGTTACCTGTTCAAGGTCACCCAGACATGGCTGAGTAAATGACAGGAGACTGAGAATAGCCAGGGAGTAGGGAGAACTGAGTGTAGCGTCACTGAAAGCCCAAGGAAGAAAGTATTTCAAGAAACAGTGATTTGTGTGTGTGTGTGTGTGTGTGTGTGTGTGTGTGTGTGTGTGGTGTTTAATATAATTGTTATCCTGTGACTAATTCAGTGGGGGGAGGGGTAAGAAGCCCTCGGAGATTCAAAGAACCAATTTGTTGTGGAGCAAACGCGAGTAAACGACCCCTGGGGTCCAGACCAAATTAAAATTCAGGGAGCCTTTAATATCTGGCCGGCTGACTGCTCTCTCCACGCAGCAAGCCCAGACAGCAGCCCCGACCCTTGGTGTCCGTCCCCCTTTGTGTCCGACCGATTTAAACCCATTCAGTACATCCTGGTTTTTTTGTTTTTTTTTTTTTTTGTTTTTGTTTTTGTTTTTGTTTTTGTTTTTGCAGAACAAACGATTTAAAACAAAATAGTTTTTCTTAGGTAATGTCAACATGTCATCTACACGGTCCTGGCGGCTGGTGGAGTAAGTCACTGCATCCCCTTATCGGGGAAGTTGACAGTGGGAGTAAGTCACTGCAACCCATTCTCAAGGAAACTGACGATAATTTATCCTGTAATAATTATTGTAAGGCTATTTTGTTAGTTGCAGCTGGGATTTATGGTCAAGTCGACTAGGAGGAAGCATGGTCAAAAATTCCCACTAACAAATTGAGAATTCTTTTCAGAACAAATGATCTATTTGTACACACTGCCTTATTCTACAAATAGGATGATTATTGGGTGTTTAGTAATAAACCATACCTTTTCCCCTGGCTTACCATGAGGGGAAAAAACTGTGTCCTAAAGGAGGCTGAATTTTGCAGCCTTTTAAATTTCTGTTCCTGCCCTCCCTGGCCCCCATAGGTGACTGGTTACTGACGATATATGTAGTCCAGGGTTACAATATAGAGATAAAAGTCAAAACATGCCGAAACCGGTTTGGCTCAGTGGTGGAGCATCGGTCTGAGGGCATTTACCTTGGTTGCAGGCACAGCCCCAGTAGGGGGTGTGCAAGAGGCAGCTGGTCGATGTTTCTCTCTTATGGATGTTGCTAGCTATCTCTCTCCCTTCCTCTCTGTGAAAAATCAATAAAATATATTTTTAAAAAAAGTCAAAACATTACATCAACTGGCGGACCTAAGGAAGAAAGAAAAGTCTTAGTATTCCTGTTTATAGCAACCACATGTAGCAATATTAACATGGCATTTTTCTTGTCCCCAGCATTTTCCTTCATACAACTTTGCACAGCTCAATCTTAAAATCAACTTATTTAAAGATAAACACCCAATTAGAACATGTAACATTCCTTTAAGCAAGCTGATCTAATTTATCCCAGTAGCAGTATTAATCATGGTTTTGAGACAGATGTCTTGAAGTATCATACTTCTTTCTTTTAGTTTTTTTAAAATATATTTTTAATTGATTTTTTACAGAGAGGAAGAGAGAGAGAGATAGAAACATCGATGATGAAAGAGAAACATCCATCAGCTGCCTCTTGCACACCCCCCACTGGGGATGTGCCCGCAACCAAGGTACATGCCCTTGACCGGAATCGAACCTGGGACCCTTTAGTCTGCAGGCTGACGCTCTATCCACTGAGCCAAACCGGTTTCGGTGGAAATAGAGCTTTTTAAAAAAAATAAATTAAAAAAATATATATTTTATATATAAATATAAAAATATATATTAAATATATATTAAATATAATATATATATTAAATATATATAAATATATATATTAAATATAAAAAATATATTTTTTATTGATTTTTTACAGATAGGAAGGGAGAGAGATACAGAGTTAGAAACATCGATGAGAGAGAGACATCAACCAGCTGCCTCCTGCACACCCCCTACTGGGAATGTGCCCCCAACCAAGGTACATGCCCTTGACCTGAATTGAACCTGGGACTTTTCAGTCCGCAGGCCGATGCTTTTATCTACTGAGCCAAACTGGTTTTGGTGGAAATAGAGCTTTTAGGGAAGGATTTTTAAGCCTCAAATTAAATATCTTTAGTTAGTTAACATTTTTTCTTTCCTTCAAAGCAAAAGATTTAAAATTCCAGCTATTTTATTTACAGATATTGATAAATTAATACTAAAATTTATATGGAAATGCAAAGGACCTAGAATATTAAGAAGTACTTCCTTTTTTTCCTTTTTATTAAATCTATCAGGGTGACACTGGTTAACAAAATTATACAGGTTTTAGTAGCACAGTTCCACAACACATCATATGTACACTCTATTGTGTGTTCATCACTCTAAGTCAAGTCTCCTATCATCGTCTATCCCCCCTATGACCTCCTCCACCTCCTCCTACCTCCATTCCCTCAAATTACTTCTTATAAAAGAACAAAGTTAAAGCACTAATACTATCCACTTTAAAAACTATAGCCATTGCTGCACTAATCAGGACAGTTTGATCTATAAAGATAGACATATTAGAGCAGTGTCCAGAAATTATGGCCAATTAATTTTTTTTCAACAACAATGGAAAGGCAATTCAGTAAGGGAAAGAACAATTTTCAACAAATAGCACTGGAACAATTCTATATGTATGCAAAATAACAAAGAAAAAAAGAACTTGAATCCACACCTCTCACCACATACTCTTAACTGGATCATAAACCAAAATATAAAACCTAAAACTAGAAGAAATCATAGGAGAAAATCTTTGCTGGTAGAAATGTAAAATCTTTCAGAAACTTTGAGAAACAGGTTGATAGTGTCTTAAAAGGTTAAACACAGACTTACCATTCAACCCAGCAAGCCTACCCTAGGCTTTTATTGATCAGAAATGAAAATATATGTTCACCCAAAGATTTGTACACAAATGTTTATGGCAGGATTATTCATAATAGCCCCAAACTGAAGCATTCCAGATATCCATTAACTGGTGAATGGGTAAACAAATGTGATATGTTCTTATAATAGACTATCCTATATAGTAAGAGAAGAACATGTTAATTATCCATTACTCTGTGAGGCGTAACGACCCACAGCGTAATGACCAGATCACGGATCTGCAGGAGGCAGCAAACTATAAGTGGGCATCAGAGAACTACAGGAGGGGGTAGGGCAGCAAGCAATGAGCGTGTGTGTGTGTGTGTGTGTGTGTGTGTGTGTGTGTGTGTGTGTAGCTACAGGAAGGCAGGGCAGTGGGCTGAGAGCTACAGGAAGGTGGCAGGTACCTACTGGTACATGGATTCCTGCGTAGGGCTACTAGTTCAGCAATAAAAAGGAATGAACTTCATGCATGAGTCTCAAACAAATTATCATTAAGTGAAAGAAGCCAGACAAAAATGTACATAATATATGATTCCATTTATATGAAATGTTCAGAAATTGCAAGTCTATATAGACCAAAAGCAAAATAGTGGTTGCTTGGAGCTGAAGGTGGAAGTAGGGATTGAGTGAATATGAGCCCAAGGGAACTCAAAACATTTTTTTTTTTATTGATTTCAGAGAGGAAGGGAGAGGGGGAGGGAGATATAAACATCAATGATGAGAGAGAATAATTGATCAGGTGCTCCTTATCTGACTGAGCCCACAACCTAGATATGTGCCTAGGTAGGGAATAGAACTGGGGACCCCTGGTTCATGGCTTGATGCTCAACCATTAAGCCACACTGGCTGGATCCAATCACAGAGATGGAAATATTTTAAAACTGAACCTTAGTAATGATTGTACAATTTTATAAACTTCCTAAAAATAATTGAATTATATACTTTAAAATGGTGAATTTTAGAGTACATAAATTATGCTTACATAAATTATGCTGTTAAAACCGGTGTGCATTGCATTAGAGTTTAATGAGGGAAGCAGAGCGAGTAGGTTACATATGTCCTCTATATGTATCCATATGTATGTACGTGTATATATTTGCACATATATATATATATATGAATTTATTACAAGGAATTCACTTCTGCAAGTCCAACGTCTGTAAGGGCAGGCTGTTGGGAAGGGAAAATCCAGAGAGGGCGAGTGATTGTAGAGTTAGCTTCTGTTTGGAGTTAGACTCTTGGATGCCTAAGCCTGTGTGTGTGTAAATCCTCATCTAAGGATATTTTTTCCATTGATTTTTATTTTTATTTATTTATTTAAATTAAATTATTATCTGTGTACATATTTTAACATTGCCCCCCCCCCTTCCCCCTCCATTGGTTTTT